GTAGCCACACAAATAACTAAATCACAATGAAATAGTGTGTCATAACACCCCAACAGTATCACCATGCTTAGGAATATGAGTGATTGTGGTGGTTATCATACCCCAACAGTATCACCATGTTTAGGAACATGATTGACTGTGGCTTGTGAACAAGGGGACATAAATATTAGCGTTCAGGAGCTGGTGAAACAGTTCAATGGGTAAAGGTGACTGCTATCAACCCCAGTAACCTGAATTTGATTCCTGGGGCCCACATGGTAGAAGGAGAGAGCCAACTTCTGCTATGTGTTCTCTGACCTCTACATATAAATAAATAAATAAATAAATAAATAAATAAATAAATAAATAAATAATATGTTAAAAAAATCAGAGTTCAGCCTGGAGTTTGTGGCACATACCTTTATTCTCAGTACCAGGAGGCAGAGGCAGGTGTATTTCTGATTGTGAGTTCAAGTCTACATAACAAGTTCAGGCCAGCTGGGCTACATGGTGAGACTCTGCCTTAAAGAAAGAAAACAAAAACAAAAGAAAATAAAAAACAAAGAACTTAATATGTCTGAAGCTCAAATACACCTCAGGCTGAGTCAGATTTCAAGAAGATGAGGTAAATTTGTATTGGGCACATATTTGGTGTTGGACTGTTATATAGCAGTTTCCTCTAAGACAAAGCATTCCATCTTAGAGAGATGGCTCAGTAGTTAAGAGCACTGACCAGGGTTTGGTTCCCAGCACTCACATGGCAGCTAACAATAGTCCATAACTCTAGTTCCAAGGGATCCAAAGCCTTTTTCTGGCCTCCTTGGGTTTACATACACGTGGTAATTTACTTATTTGCATATGTGTAGGCAAAACACTCATACACATAAAAATAAATAAATAAATAAATAAATAAATAAATAGGGCTAGAGAGATGGCTCAGTGGTTGTAATAGCCAGGGTTCTCTAGAGAAACAGAACCAGTAGAATGAATATAGAGATTTATCAGATTAGCTCACAGAATAGAGTCTAAGTAATCCAACAATGGCTGCACCACACTGGAGAGGCTGAGAATCTGTAGTCCCTCAGTCCATGAGGGTGGATATCTCAGTAGTCCCAATCTGGTATTGAAGGTCTGATGAATTACAAAAGATTGGCTAGTTTTCAGTCTACAGCAGCAAGATGAATTTACCAGCGAGAGAGAAGGCAAGCAGCAAAAAGCAAGTGTTCTCTGCCATGGCCTTTTATAGGGGCTGTCATCTGTCATCAGAAGGTAACACCCACATTTAGGGTGTGTCTTCCAGGTTCAGATGATACAATCAAGAAGATCTCTTTCATTTCAATTGATCCCAGATCCAGTCAAGTTGACTTCCAGGATTAGCCATCACAGTGGTCAAGAGCACTGGCTGCTCTGGCAGAGGCTCTAATAAATAAAATCCCCAGTGCCAGCTGTGGGATATCTCATTATGAGTCTCTGGTCATGGACACCCCAGACGTTCACCAAACTGTGTATATTCTTTTCATTCATTATTCTTGGTGGCCATCCAAACTAGATGATAAAGCCCCATTTCCTGAGGCACCATGTGCCTTGGTTGCATGACACAGAGAGATCAAGCCGGACGTTTCCTCCCTTTTAGCACCTATTATAGTGTTGGAAGGTGCTATGCAGACTGCTGGGAAAAAACTGCACCAACCACCTTCCATACCCATGAATCCTATGAGCTACAAACTACAATTCTAACTTGTCAGGCAAGAGGAATCCACAATATGCAATAGAGACATGGAAATTATGGGGTAATCAACCCGTCTCTGTTGGATTTGAGGCCTGCTGTGTGGACAGGAACCCATGCTTGGTAGTGTAAACCTAGTCAAAAACTCATGGCTTGGGAGATCATAGGTCTGAGGGGAGAACTCAATACTGTTATTAGCTTAATTGACATAGCGTGAAACTGTCTTCTAAATATTTATGTTTATATTCATAGACAAATGCTACTATGAGCCTTAATCAGGCCTCTTAGTGAGCTGTGGAGTGCAGACTCATGGATGCACAAGGTGCTCAGAGGGGCTGACAGCTAAGTACTAAGTCCTAAACAAGGCATCTCTACCATTCCCTCTAAGGCTCAGGGAATACTGGCAAAGAAGAGGTGAAAAGAAAATGAGTTGGAAGATAGGGAGAAGGGCTGCAAAATGCCATCTCTGGGGAAGACCCAGACATTGCAATCAGGAAACCACAGCAATTCCAGGTGCCTGCAGTGGGTCTGCACAAAAACAGGCCTGTCAACAGCTAGGCATGGGTGGAATTGGGATTAGGGGTTCTATTCTTCTCTCCTGAACTACCAGACAAGTCAGAGAGACAGACCATCATTGCCTTCATCGTGTGCCCACTGGTCACCCCACCAAGCCCTTATGGATAGTTCTAATCTAATGCTCACACAGATGGCCCTGGTTAAACTAAATGGTGACTCAACAAAACCAAAAGCCATGAATCTAAGAAAGGGACTGTAGAGAGGAAGGGGAATAATGAGGGCAGAAGGGAGATGACAGGGGCTGAGACAGCTCAGCGGTTGGGAACACTGGCTGCTCTTGTAGAGGACCCAGGTTCAGTTCCCAGCACCCACATGGCAACCAACAGTCATCCATAACTCCATTTCCAGGGCATCCAATGCCTTCTTCTGGCCTACACAGACATGGTACACATGTGATGCACTTACACTCATGCAGGCAAAACACTCATATACATAAAATAGAATAAAATAAAATTTAAAAATTAAAAAAAAAGAAGATAAAAGAGGACAAGGGAGGAACAAGCAGAATGCATTATGTATACATATGAAATTGTCAAGGAGCTATGTAAAGTATTTTATTTATTATTTTATGTGTATGAGTATATTGCTTGCATGTGTATAAGCACACCTGTGTCATGCAATGCCCAGGGAGGTCAGAAGACGGTATTGGATCCCCTGGAACTGGAGATATGAATGGTTGCTTGCCATCAAACCCGGTCCTCTGCAAGAGCAGCCAGTGCTCTTAACTGTGGAACCATCTCGACAGCTCCTAATTAAACTTACAAATTAAACAGCAACAACAACAGCAACACATGATAAACAAAAAAATTCTTTTGGGCAATCGAAAATGGTTGACTTTTCTCAAATCTCTCATTTAGAAATTAAAAAAAAATCAAATTACATTTATTTATTTAGTGTGGGGGGTGCATACATGTCACAGCATGCTGGTGGAGGTCAGAAGACAGCTTCAGGAGTTGACCTCTCCTTCCACCTTGCTGAGACAAGGTTTCTCCTGGTTTCTGCAGCTGCCCTTCAAGCTCAGGTGACTCCCTTGTCTCTGCTTCCCACCTGACCTTCGGAGTGCTGGGATTACAGATGCGCTCCATCTCACCTGGCTTTTTATGCAGATTCTGGGAGTTGTACTTGGGTCATCAGACTTGAGTTCCTAGAGCTTTATAGCTGAGCCTTCTTCCCAGCCTTGAAAGCCATGTTCTGTACCAGAAAGGTTCAACTTATACACAAAAGCCACTTAATTTTTCCCCCTTTTTTCTTTTTGTTTTTTTGAGACAGGGTCTCGTTGTATCCCTGATTGACCTGGAACTAACCAGGTAGCCCAGACTGGCCTCAATCTCACAGAGATTTGCCTACCTCTGCCTCCTGAGTGCTGGGATTAAAGACATGTGCCACCAAGCCTGACTTCATTTAATTATTTTTAATAAAAATAAATATGATTTCTTATTTGTGGCTTGTTTTTAAATAGCATGGGGTCCCCACTGAACAGCGACAATGATGTGGTACACATATTTGTATAGGTAGGAAGCCTGGTCCATGAGGAAATACTGCTACTCCTAGGTCATGAACCAGTGAGAGGTTCTATTTTAATCTTATCTGATAGTGCCTACCTTTTCCTGTATATAAAAATTACTATTTTTCAAACATATAGCCACAATATGGCGAAGTTTAATGTGTTATTAAAGGGGGTACTGAGAACTTTAGACTCTCATTAGAAATTATTAGACTAGCATGGTGGTGACTCACACATGAAATTGCAGCACTATGGGAAGCTAAGGCAGGAGGATTGTTATGGGCTTGAGGCCAACCTGGGCTACATAGTGAGTTCTAGGCCAGCAGCCAGGGATACAGAGTGAGACCGTGTCTTAAAAATTTTGTTTGTATTAATCCTGAGAGAATTATCCAATATCGCTTGCTCATAGTAATTTATTTATTTTGAGGGAGGGTCTCAGGCATCTCAGGATGGTCTTGAAGTTCTGATCCTCCCTGTCTACCTCCCACAGGCTGAGATTACAGGTGTGTGCCACAGTAACAGTTGTTTTCCAAAGCCTTTTACATGAATAAGTAAATTGTGTACAGGAAATGTGACAAACACCTCCCAAACCTGAACTGAAACCAAGTTGGACTTGCCAGTTCTTCCTCCTTTTCTCAGTTATTAGTGTTGGTGGTGGGATACTTGTCTCATTTGGGCAGGGATCAAAGATTCGACTTGGAAGCAGACTTTGAAAATGTTCTACTAACGAGTTTTGATGTAGGGTAAATTTTGATCAAGTTATTCTGTCTCAATCTGAGCTGTTGATGTCATGAAAATTGTTCAAGGTTCAGAAGCTCAGTACTGCCTTTTTCCTTCTCTATCTTATGCTATAGTTCCACAAAACTGTAGCTGCATCGTGTTTGAGAAGGCAGGCACAGACGTACAAATTATTTCAAACACACACGCATCGAATACACACCTAGATTACCCTGTGGGTTATTCCAGCAGCAGTGGAGAGCAATTACTCTTTTGAAAGCCTCCTGGGACCTTTTTGTCTCAGGATACCAGCAGTCCTGGAAGGGCAGAGACTGCAGACGTGACTCAGAGCACCCCAGTGTATGGGATCTTGGGCCTTAGGGGCCACACCCTTGGAAAGAGCTCTGTGCAATAACCAATTCACTGATGAGGTTCATGTATTATTGTCTCCCAGGGGGCTGTGCGCTCAGGTCAGAATGGCCACTCTGAAGGTCTAGGGGGAAGAGTAAGAGGATTTCCTTTTCAAGAGCATTATTTCTCTTCATCTTTCAGTCCCTTTCTAGGTCCTGGGGTTTGGTAAGTGTTGGGTTTAGACAAGGCAGGCAGGACTGGGAAGGCAAAGGTGGAGTGAAGTTCCTGAGGGAAAGCAATGGGTGGGTGGAGGAAGGGGAAGGAAGGGCGGAGAGATGAAGGGCTGGGCTCAGTCCAGTTTCTGGATGAAGTAAGAAGTGCAGAGTGCTGGGGGTCAGACTGTAAGGACTCAGAGAATGGAATGACTATGGATAAACGGGGTAGGAAAATATGAGGCTAAATAGAGAATACAGTTTGACAGCCAAAAAAAGTGTTTGAGAGCTTGGACCAGAAGGATGGATGCTGACTCTGCAGCATTTCTGTGAGTTTTATCCGTCTTGATGGTTTCTATCATGTGTGTATTGGTATATGTCTGTGGCACTTAAAATACTGCATAATAGTTTGCTATTACTGATTTATTAAAGTTTTAAATTTTATTTATTACAGTTTTAAATTTTATTTTTGTGTGTGAGAGAGTGAGAGAGACAGAGACAGAGAGAGACAGAGAGATATATGTGTGGGCATGCATGCCATGCTGTGCACGTGGAGGTCAGAAGATAACATTGTGGAGTCAGTTCTTTCCTGCCATTTGTGTGGGTTCGAGGGATCAAATTCAGGTCATCGGGGTGGGGGGCAAGTGCCTTTTACTCAGTGAGCCATTTTGTGGGCCCCAAGTTTTGTTATTTATTAAGAGCTTATAATCCCCCTACTTGTATGAAGTAATAGGCATTTTGGAAACATCAAATAATGTGCTGAATACGAGCAGAAGACACAGCTCGAACACAAACCCAACACCGTTCTAAAAGATACTTTTCAAGGTCTTCTGCAAGAACAGCTAGTGCTCTTAACCACTGAGCCATCTCTTCAGTCCTGTGTATTTTATTTCTTGTTCTCCTGCTTTGGAAGATTAAATACGTCAACAATGGTATTGTTAATAAACTAGAGGCACACACACGAAGTTGGTTTGCTGTCTAATATCTGACTAATTTAAAATGAACTGAATTAAATACAAATATTTATTTATTATATTTATTTATTTATTTATTTATTTATTTATTTATTTATTTTTGAGATAGGTTCTCATTCTATATCCCAGGCTGGCCTGGAACTCACTAGGTGGTCCAGGCTGCACTTGAACTTGTAGTGATCCTCCTGCCTCAGCTTCCTAAGTGCTGGCTGGGATTACAGACGAGTTAGACACCAGGCCCAGCTACAGTTGGTTTTTAAGCTGTTCTCTGTTCTGTGATTTTGTATATTTTGCAAGTCCACATCTATCTGAGCAACACAACATGTTTAACTGTATTGTATGCTTTTGCTTGATTTCTTATTCATTATTTTGGACATACATTAATTATGCTGCATGTTCGTGAAAACTAAGAGATGGCAGAACAGGAAGGATGGTGCTGACCAGGCAGCAGAAGCTAGTGTGTGTGTCAGTGAATGGGAAGATGTCTTAATCTTAAGACAGAAGACAATCAATGCAATAAACAGGGCCAGGTGTCCTACGCATGGGGGGAGCACTACATGCTGCCTCTGGTGTTAGTTAAAACGTTTTCTAGAAAAAATTTCTGTTGAGCCAAAAGAAAAGAAATGGGCAAAAGCAAGCCCTCCTAAACAGGTCTTACTTCATTGGTGAGAATCTCTTGAGCAGTATTAATAAAAATGTTAATTATGATCCCATTTTATCTTTAATGGGGGCTTTTAGGATCTTCTTAGTTTGGTACATGCTAGTTTCCAAAAGGTGGAGAGAGGGCTTCACTGGCATCCTGAGTGAAAATCGTTTCAGTGGACTGGTGAAAAGAGGAGGGTTCCAGGAACAGCAGCAGATGGGGAAATAGGGATATATAACAGTTCCACATTTAGCTATGTGCAAGAAAATATCATTAATTTTTCACTATTTAGCAGAGAATAAGATGTTGTGCATATTCAAATTTCAAATTTTTATTGATTTATTAAATTTTGACAGGGTCTCAAGGATCCCAGGCTGGTCTCCAACTCCCCATGTAGCATAGAATTACCTTAATCTCTTGCTCCTCCTGCCCCTACCTCCTGAATGCTGGGATTGGAAGTATCACTACCATACCCTGTTCACACAGTGCTGGGGATTGAGCCCAGGACTTCATAGATACTAGACAAGCACTCTACCAACTGAGCTATATCCCCAATCTTCAAATTTTATAAATGCACAGAATTTCAAAAGGGCTGTGTTGAAGACCAAGGACAGAAAGATAAATGATGAATGACCTCCCACAACAGGAGGACTTGAGACAGAGGTACATATGTGAGTAGGGCCTCAAATATGAAAGAGGCCTTTCCCCCAATTATAATAAAAAAGAGTTGATTACGAGGCATACATGTTGTCTCAGTCTTATATAATTTTATTATTGTTTCTTTTTAAAAAGTATTTTATAATTTTTATTTTATGTGTATGAGTGCTATGCCTACATGTATGTAAGTGCACCCGTGTCATGCAATGCCCACGGAGGACAGAAGAGGCTGCTGGATCCCCTGGAACTGGAGTTACAGACAGTTGTTAGCTGCCATGTGGGTGCTGGGATTCGAACCTTGGTCTTCTGCAAGAACAGTCAGTGTTCTTAACTGCTGAGCTATCTCTCAAGCCCCTTTTGTTTGTTTTTTAAGACAGGGTGTCACATAGCTCAGGTCGGCCTTGATCTCCGGATCCTCCTGCCTCTACCCACTGAGTGCTGGGATTATAGGTCTACACAACCACGAGTACCTTATAATTACTGCCTGTAGTTTCTTCTTGAAATAAAATGAAAGGGTTCTGTTGAGAAAGAGGCAGTTGAAATGAGATGGGGCATGTCCTTAGAGACAAAAACAAGTTGAAGAGGGAGAGAAATAGAACAAGGTTTTGCTACTGGATCAACAGTTAAATTGAACGTGTAAAATTATGGGAACACAAATATACCTCTTTAAGAAGTATCCATGCTTGACAATTTTCATTACCTAGAGAGCTTACTAGGTTAATGAATCTAAGAGCTGAGTTCTGGAACACATATGACAGAGGTCAGTGGAGGAAGGGCAGGAAGCATAGTGGCAAGAGAGACTGAAATGATGAATCGGGATTTAACCTGGAAAGGGAGGAGTGTGCACGTGGTTTCTAATGAAAGGTGGTGAGGAGATCAATGTCATAGGACTCAAGGTTTTGGAAGACTAGAATGCCCTAATTTGCAGTTGACGGGGCTGATGAATTTTGAGCTAAAGTGCTTCAAACTGTGGGCCTGAACTGGGTGATTACACTTCAATCACAATAGGACCCAAACTGAGGAAACTGCATTGGGTAGGTGAATCAGAAGGATGCAGACTTCCTGAGGTAAAGGCAAGATGTAGGTCTTTAAAGAACCAGAGGGAATCGTCTGGAAGACTGGAAGATAATAAGGAAAAGCAGTTGAATGACTAGGAACAGTCATTTTAAACAAATTCCTAATAAAAGATTTAAAAGGGGTGATGATGTGCTAGGTAGGTAAAAGTGCTTAACTTGCAAGCTTAGTTTTATCCCCAGAACCCACATAAAGGAGGAGGGAAAGAATTGACACCATGAAGTTGTCCTCTGACCTCCACACGCATGCAGTGGCGCATGTGCACGTGTGTGCACACATGCACACACATACACACACACACAAATAATAAAATTTAAATAAATACTAAGAAATGTCACTAAGGAATGTTCCTTTAAACAGTACCAAGTACTTTTTGCTCTATTTAATTATTTATAAATTAAAATTTATTTAATTGAATTAAATTAATTTATTCATTCATTGTGTTTGTGTGTGAATGCACAGTGTGAAGGTCTAATGACCGTGTTCAGGAATTGGTTCTATCCACCATGTGGGTCTTATCATTGAGCTTATTGGCAAATACCTTTACCCACTGAGTCACCTTGCCAACACCAAAATTAGTTATATTATGATGTGCCAGGTTTTCTTGAAATACTTAAATTTGTCTGAAATACATTTGTTTAGCCTTTTATTTTATCCTTTTCTGGGTCGTTTTGTTTAGGCATTTCATATGTGAACACCATATAATTGGATTTTACTTTTCAAAGCTCTACTGATAGCTCATATTTTTTAATAGGAGAATTCAAACAATCTGTACCCATAACTGTAAGTGTTATATTTGGTTTCAGGCTGTTTACTTTTTAAATTTTTAATTAATTTATTTTTTTTTAGAATTTCATATAGTGTATATTGATTATATTAACCCCACCTCCCAATTCCTCCCAGGTCCACTCATCCTTTCTCTACCCACCAAACTTAGGGTTCTCTTTTGTGTGGTTTAAACCCTTCAAGTTCAATTTATGCTGCCCATTTACTTTTGGGTGAGGGGTCATCCATTGGAGCATGACCAGCCTACCAGAGGCCACATTCTAAAGGAGACTGACTCTCCCACTCCAGGCACTTATTAGTTGCTAATAGCTCCTCAGCTAGGGGCAGGACATCGTGCCCACATTCCCTGTCCATGCTGGGTTTTTGTCTGGCTTAAGAATGTGTGCAAGTTTTGTGCATGCTATCACAGTCACTGTTGATACGAGCAGCTGCCCTGTTGTGTCTGGAAAGCATTATTTCCTTGTATTCATCCACCACCTCAGGCTCTTAGAATCTTTCCATTCCTTCTTCCACAATGATCCCTGAGCCTTAGGAGGAGAGAATGTGAAATAGGTGTCCCATTAAGGGCTGAGAATCCCATAGTCTCATATTCTCTGCCTCTTGACCAGTTGTGGGCCTCTGTGTTAACTGCTGTCTCTGCCATAAGAGGTTTCTCTGGTTTGAGTTGAGAGATGCACTAATCTGTGGGTATATAATGATATCATTAGGAGTCAGTTTAATGCTATATCCTTTTAGCAGAATAATAGTAGTGGGTTCTTTCCTAGGGTCTGTGACTTATCTAGCCATAGGTTCTTGGCCCTGATAACAATGCCAGATATGGGTTTCATCTTATGGAGGGGACTTATATCTAATCAGAAAGTGGTTGGTTACTCCTATGGC